GGGTTTGAACCACCAGCCTTCTGGTTAGCAGTCAAGTGCCTTAGGCACTATGCTACCAGAGCTCCCCTTAATCATGGCAAAATTTTAAAGAAGGGAACATACTTTATACGTTTATGGACTTTCCCCATATCCCCAATAAACTATACCAGGTTGCCAGGGGGAAAAAGGTACGGTATTGCAAGCCAGGGCAGAAGCCCTGCCCTGGGGTCATCTTAACTGCCACTTCTAACACTGCCTGTGTTTTATTAGAGCAACATGATTTACCCATTACTGTTCCTTTAAAAACCTTGTCTTATCACCCCTAAAAGAATTATAGGTATTATGTTTTCTAGCTGGGATGTCATGGTTAAGGAAGTTCGAAACCAGTTAAATTGCTGAATATGTGAAGAACTGCCTACTTCCTCCACCATGGAACTTCTGTGCAAACTACAACCTGCCACCTGGATGACCTGAGCGTGTCTGGACTTTTTGGAGAACTCAGGCCCCTATGCCTCTGGATCTTTTTCCTTTTTTTTCTCATTTCTTGGGCATTGTAATCTTTCCTTCCCTCTTGAAGTTGCACTAGGATGTTAGAGTTATATTGTATTTGTGGCCTTTGGCTCCGATACTCCAGTGTCCAGGCTCAAGGGATCAAGCTGAAAAGGTGGGCACGCAGACCGTAAGAGCCATTTAGGGGTGTTAGGGTGGAGTGTACCAGGCGTGGTTATAAGCTCCCCAAACCAGTTCCCTGACCCCATCCTGTTTAACCAACTACCAGATAATGCAAAGTCATCCCCACCCCTTGCAGGCCCCATTCCTTACTTAATCTTATTGGGTACAAACCTCCAGACAGTGCTCCCAGGCCCCTAGCAGCATCGGAGGCCACTGACTCCAGATCAAATTCATAACACCTATATGTTAGTTCCTCAGAGGTACAAATATCTCTGGAAAGAGGAAAGGGTTTAAAGGACTTTGAGAATATGATGTGGTAAGCCCCCTTCCTTGCTCATGAGAATAACACTCTTTCATGTTTATGAGGGCGCCTCCAGTGCAGTTTTTTGGTCTCTTGAACTTTTGCAATTTTGTGGCTCTCGGCCACAACGAGACAACAGGCAATGCTGAGAAGCCAATATTTAGAAAATATTCTGAGTGTTCTGAAGGAGGATGAGGTTCACACTTTGCTCCTGTCCTCAGGCGCTTCACTGGCCTCACTGGCCTCTGTAGCAGACTCTGAAGGCCTCATGTCTGTCATAACTTCTCTCAGTTCCCTAGGACAAGAACCATGCCAATGGCTCTGATTCGTGAGAAGAGCAATTCAACTTTACATTACTTCCTCATTTTACAATTATTTTTTGTTTTATTCACTTTGTTGTTCTTGAGAACATACACAGCAGAACTAACCTGATTCAACAGTTTCTACACGTACACTTCAGTGACACTAATCACACACTTTGAATTGTGCAACCATTCTCACCTTTTCTGAGTAGTTCCTCCCCCAATAACATAACTCACTGCCTCCAAGGCTCCTGGGTAATCTTCTGAGTTGCTGTTACTCTAACCCATACAGGTAGATCTTAAAAAAGCACAAAGTTCAAGGAAGACATTCTTTGTTAGTTAAACTAAACTATTACTTAGTTTTAAGAAGACTTCAGGAGATGCAATTAATTTAAGGTCTGAAGATTATCTCGGGACAATAGTTTCAAGGGTTTATATAACTTCCATGGCTCCAATAAGTCTGGAGTCCATGAAAACTTAAAATTCTATTCTGCATTTTTTCCCTTTGGATACCGCCTCATTTTACATGTCATTGTTGTTATGTGCCATCGAGTCGGATCCGACTCATAGCAACTCCTCCTTGGGTTTCCGAGGCAATATCATCACTACGGAAGTAGATTGCCCCATCTTCCTTCCGAGGAGCGGCTGGTGGGAAGTTTAAATTGTCCTGATCATTTACCCTGTTGAAAATCTCATCTTCGTCAGAAGAATCCTTGCCATGTAGCTTCTGTGCCATGTTTTTCTTGCGGGTGGCGCTGAGAGGTTTATACATATCTCCCAGCCTAAGTGGCTGCCTTCTCTGGAAAAACCCACCCTCCTAATAACAGGAAAGGGAATTATTAACTCTGCATCTCTCCTGCTTTCTCCCACTACAGCACTGAATCCTCCCCAAATGTACCTGACTTTTCTATTCTGATGCACACCTTCTATGCAGCAGTCTTTGGAAGAATCCCCTTCTGCGGAAAGACACACATAAGACCATTAGGTAAATGTCATTTTCCATGGCCCTCCTACCACATATCTGTGGTCTCAGCAGGACTCAAAGTTTACCTTCACCCATAATCACAATTAGCAAAATCATCACAGACTCAGGCTTTGGGAACAACTCCATGCATATAAGAGTTCCGGGAGCTCTCCCTATCCGTCCACAGGCCCCATGATGTCTCTGGGGAGATCTCTGGACACGGCTTGGTATGGAGGCTAGGCAGAATTTTCAGCCTTTCTTACCTCCTTGGCCAGGTGCCCTCATGCAGTGAACACCCTGCACAACCACACTGGGCAGCCCTGTCCAGAAACATTTTACTTCAGTCCCCTTCAGGCTTGGTCTCACATGCTTCATTCTCTGGGGAGTGGGGGCGGGGGAGGGAAGGAGAAGATATTTCTATTTTTCTAGCTGCTTTATTCTGGAAGTTGAATCATACCAAGTGAATGCCTGAGTCTAACTTGCACAGTTATCTAGTTCACTTATTTTCACACTGTAGCTGGTCATGGATTAGTAAGTGGGTTGTGAAATCAGTTTAAAGGTTATAAGTAGGATAAAAAAAAAATCTGAACTGAATAGAAAATATCAGAGGGCATAGTGAGTAAAAAGTTTGTTTTAAAAAAAGGAAAGTTGCATCAGGTCCCTCCATCAGGTCCATGATGACCCCATGTGTGTCACAGTGAAACTGCTCCATAGGGTTTTCAGGGGCTGAGTTTTGGGAAGTAGACAGCCAGGCCTTTCTTCTGAGGTGCCTCTGCGTGGACTCAAACCTTCAACTTTTCAGTTAGCAGCTGAGTGCATTAACCATTTGCACAACCTAGTGACTTGAAGTTTGCTTTAGAAACTCCTTATGTCTGTATTAAGTTTGCACATCCCGAGTCACGGAGTAAAAGGCAGCTCGCATCCCAGGCACTGTGTAATCAACGGAGAAGTGCCCACATGGGAAGTAGCCATTGTCTCTCTGACACGCACTAGCAGTGGCACCATGGGGAGATATATTCTCTTTCTCCCTCTCTGTTAGAGACAAGCTACTGTCTAAGGCCACTTGGAGTTAAAATTCTATGAGGTAGGGGCTTAACAACCAGTAAGATGAGAAGTGATGTCTTCTTGCCACTTTACAGGAAAAATCCAAACATTCTATCTTCTATCAGCCTTGAATGAAAACAGCATTCTTACCCAAGACCATACGGCCTTCCTTATTCTTTCCCCAGAGCCACAAACGGAGGCCTCTGGCCCAGCCTGACGCCCACCAACAGCAGGAGGAGACAGCCACAGGCTAACTCTCCTCCTGAAAGCACTGGTGACAGCAGATGCCTCGGTGCCTGTCCTGTCAGATTCTGCTTGGGCTGGGGGACTAATTTGGCTGGAGCCAGACAAAGTATCAGGGCGAGTGTCTTCTTGCCGTTGGCAGTTTCCTCGCTGTAAATGGAGGGCATTGAAATAGAAATGCTGAGTTCTCCTCTGGTTCTCAAATTCTATTTTAAATATTGTCCGACTATGAATGTCTTATATGTATTTTAACCACATTTTAAAAACTTGCCAGACTAATACTTACCTTGAGGATCCTTCTCTATTTTTCTTAGCCACTGCTCTATGAGAATAAATCTGTTTTGGAAGAAAACAAGATCATGGTAACCCATCACAATGACCACCATCTTCAGACCTTCCTTCATTCCCCTTATTTATTTTAACAGTTATCTTCACTGGGATAACCTTTCTGAGCACAAGGATTCTATCCCGTTTAAGAGTTCTTACTCATCCACAGTACCTGGCTTAGGATCTTGCATTTATTTTAACATATTTCATGAACTATTTTAGGTAGCATTCAACTTACAATTCCTAATAAAAACTCTTAGAAGTAGGAAAGGAGGAAACATATTAACTTGATAAAAAAAAGTATCTACTAGACACTTAGTCAATAGCATTGCTTTAAAGTTAGGGATATGGACACCTGTTACTCCTGCTACTATCCAGCATTGCTTAGAAGGTAGTCATCTATGCAATAAGAAAAATAAATGGGATGTAAGTACTGGGAAGACAGAGACAAAACTATCATTATTGGCATGTGAAATGACGGACAACCTAAAATGCTCAAGGAATCAAGTAAAATTTTGGGGAAGTAATATGAGAATTCAGAAGTACCCCTCGTAGTGCAGTGGTTAAGCACTTGGCTACTAACTGAAAGGTCAGTGATTCAAAACCACCAGCCAGTCTGCAGGAGAAAGATTCGGCAGTTTGCGTCTGTAGACATTTATAGCCTTGGAAACCCCATGGGACATTTCTACTCTGTACCATTTTGTTGCTGTGAGTTAGAATTGACTTGACAGCAATGGGTAAGGATAATGGGAGAATTCAGTGAGGTAGCTAGATACAAAATCACACATACTTCAGTAGCTCCTATGTGGTACCAATAACCAGTTAGAAAATGTAATGGAACTGCAAACATTAATCTATAAATGGATACATAGGTAGACATGAAAGCTGAGCAGGTGTGGAAAGGCTTACAGGACTACATCCACGAGTACGTACAGGTTTGGCAGAAGGTATTTTTACGTATATGTTTGTAAGTCCTGCAGATGTATTTATATGCATAGTAGAATATACAAGTTTTATGGCTAAAACTTCTTAGCCATAACCAAACACCTTGAGGGAATAGGCTTTGGGGCTTAGGACCATAGTCTCAAGAGACACATCAACTGGTATAACACAAAGACAACGTTCTACATCCTACTTTGATGAGCAGCGGCTGGAGTCTTAAAAGTTTATGAGCAGCCATCTAAGATCCAACTATTGGTCTCTCTTGTCCAGACCTAAGAAGAGTGAAGAAAATCAAATACTCAAGGGAACAATAACTCCGAAGGGCTAATGGACTACCCAAAACACAGGCTCTACTCTCCTGAGACCAGAAGAATTATATGATGCCCACCTACCATTACCAAACTCTCTGATCAAGATCACAATAGAAGGTCTTGGACAGAATGGTAGAAAATTATAGAACAAAATTCAGAATCATCAAAAATACCAGAATTGCTGGTCTGACAGAGGTTAGAACACCTGAGACTATTACCCTTCAAAACTGGAAATGAACCCACCTTTCAGTCGAACAATAGACAGGCCTATAATGGGAACTGTAGTGCCTGAGATGAACTTACAACTGAGAACAATCAACCATACAAGACCAAATGGGCAGCATTTGCCTAAAACAAAGCTCAGGGGCCAGGAATGAGGGACAAATGGAAATAGGGAACCTAGGGAGGAAGTGGGAAGAGTCCTGTTAGCTTTAGGAGACTGCAACTAATGTCACAAAATTTGAAATGTGTTCAAATAAAATTCTTGAATGGAAAACTATGCTCTGTAAAGTTTCACCCAAACCACAAGATAAAAAAAAAAAAAAAGTTGTGGAAGAAAGATTCTATTCACAATAGCAATAAAAATGTGTAAAGTACTTAGGCATAAAGTGAACAAAAGATGTGCAAAACCAATGTGAAGAAAATACTAAAATTCTTCTGAAGAACATTGAGAAGGAGGAGTTCCAGTAAGATGGTGATATAGGAAGAAAGACTGCACGGAACCTCTTCAACAAAGAAAAGGGGAACCAATTAACACAGATACAGAAGATAATCCTGGACCCCTGAACTTTTAGGGGAAGAATATAGAAGTGGACAAAACTCTAACTAGCAGAAGAATTTGTATGAAAACACCAAAAAAGAAGACATACGGAACTGCGGTCTGGCAGTGATCCTGATGGCACAGACAGCTTGGATATTGCTGAGTGGTGGTAGAACCTAAGAATTAACCTAAAAATCAGCCCTGCTAGCCAGGGACTGCACAGAGGACTGCTCTGGTGGCTGGGTAATAAAAGGGGAAGCAGGGAAGAGAAGGGTGGGCTGAGCCGTGGACTTTTGCCTGTCCGGAGGGCACAGCCATTCTGAATGTTTATAAGCAGTTTGACATTTTGGATATTTAAAGCAACAGCATTCTCCCAGATTCCAGGGACTTAAGAACAGGCTCCACTTGTTGGGAACCACAAGGACATTCCAGACGTGGATGACTGGAAAGGTACAACATTCCCCTTGTTACTCATATTCCCCACACCCTCTTGGTGAATGGAGATGTGGCTATCCCTCACTCCCACCCACCTTCTAGGCCAGTAGGAATTCCATCCCAGTCTGTGTTTTCCAACAGAGCCTGGGCGCCTTGCCCCACCCTGCTTCCAATTTTTTTCTTTTCTTTCTTTTTTTTAGATAGTTTGTTTTTGTCTGTTTTAAAACTATTATTTTAATTTTTGTCCTTTATTATTATTATTCTTTGTTATTCCCATTCCAGGTTCTAGTTTTCAGCTTTTTCTCTTTTCCCTGTTCCTGGTTCCAATATTTTTTTTTCTTTCTTGTGGTTAACCCCATTTCTTGTTTTTCTTTTTGCATTTTCCCCATCTTTTTCTTCATTATTCTCCTTCTCTACCTTTTTTCTCTTACTGTCCTCTCCTCAGATATTGCAGAGGTTCCCCCCTTTTTCTTTTCTT